TGAAGGTTGTTATAAATCTTCTCGAGTATATTATATATAAACTTCCAATTGAGATGATCATATGCTTTTCCAAGGTCAATCTTCAAGGTCTTAGACCCTGTCTTTCCTTTCATTTACCCATAGAGTGAATCATCTCTTGGGTAATTATAATGTTGTCTTGGATATTCCTACTTGAGATAAAGCTTGTTTGGTAAGGTGAGACAAAATGTTCCATCAATGATCGTAGCTTATGCACTATCATTTTATTTAATGCCTTACATGTGACAATACATAATGAGAAAGGTCTGAACTTGGCCAGTGTAATTGGCTTGTAGACTATAGGAATTAGCACTATTAAGGTGTTTTTAAGGGCTGCCACAGGTTCTGGATTGTGAGTGTTGAAAGTATAAACTTACACAGATAATCCTCTAGAAAGTTCTAGTTGCGCTGGAAGAAACATGTAACGTATCCATCGGGTCCAAGTGCTTTGTATGGCTTTGTGGAAAACACTGCCTTTTTAACTTCTCTCATTGTGAAAGGTGTCTAAAACTATTTTAATAGGTCCTCATCTAGAACTAGCCACCTTACTTTGGTTTCATGCCGATCCTAGTTGAGGAAGTCCTCGGTGTAGAGTTTTTTAAAAAACCCGCAAGCCATCTGTTGGAGCCGCTCTACATCAGTGACCCATATGCCTTGGTCGTTTTGTAGTGCTTTTGTTTTATTGATATGCCTCCTTATTGGAATAGTTATAACTTTGTGTTACAATCACCATCTTTGATCCATTTGGTACATGATTTTTGGTACCAGAGGCTCTCCTCATGGAGAAGCACTTCATCAAGCTCTCTTTGAAGCTAGATTTCCAACCTTTCTAGACTATGATTACTGTTACTCTAGAGGCTACGATGAATCCCTTGTATCCGAACCAGTAGCACATTTTTCTTATGACCATTCTTCCTAAAAACGTGTTGATTCCACTCTTTGAGAAAGGGAGTAAAGCTTTCCAAACTTTGGTAAACCAAGGCCATTTTCCCCCTAAGTCCATTACAATCGTGTAAAGTTTGAGCAAAATCCTGATAGTGACTAATATTGACTAGTGCACTATTTTCTTTTCATTTAATGCAACTATTTCGTTGAAGTCGACTGCCATCAGCCAAGGCTCCTGAACACATCAAGATGCAAAACTAGTCCCACAATTCCTTCCCAGTCTCCCTCCTGGGGCTTGTGTAAAGCACTGTGAAAAGGAAGGTCTTTTGGGATGCAGATTCAACATTGCAGTGAATGAAATAGTTATATTTTTGGACGTGTTAGAGATATATAAAACCATTAATTGACCTTCACCAAACAACTTAAGTTTTTGCGTTGAATTGATTTTTTACATTATATCAAAGCCCTCGGTGTCACGGGTTCGATCCCCATCGTCCCCCACTTTCTCTTGTGGAATTTCTTAACACAGGTAGATGTGTCTGTATATTATCCACCCTTTAAGCTTAGTGGGCTCTTGTATGAGAGGTGTGTTAGATATATATAAAACCATTAATCAGCATCAGGTTAAGCTTTTGGGTTAAATTTGTAGAAAATTAGAATTCAAACATGTTTCCGTTTTTATTTCCTATTAATTAGGATTGATTATGATTGATTAGGATTGATTATGATTGATTAGGATTAATTGTGATTGATTAGAATTGATTGTGATTAGGATTGTGATAGGATTGATTAGTCATCGCTTAGTCATTCTTAGCGATTCTTTCTTGTATAAATACTCACTCATGTAATTTATTCAATATCAATATACAAAAACTTCTTTTCAATATGGTATCAGAGCGGGTTCGTTCCTACCCTAATTCAAATCTGAAATAACCATCCAAACACTTCCATCACCGTCAAACACCTCCTAAACACCGCCTTGAATCTGTCCAACACAGAAACCTAGTTTACTGACCTCCGATCAAAAAAGTGAGGTGACCATTCGACTCATAAGGATCCGACGAGTCGACCGCCGCTGGACCCATCGCCGTCAGCCGCTGCACGCGCCACCACGCGCCGCCTTCCAGACGTTTTTTTTCCGTCGCGACTTGCACAGACCTTCTTGCCGGCTTCTCCCCTTCCTGTTCCAGAGGTCAGATCAAAAGTTTACAAAACTTGATTTTTCATCAACGGTCAACCCTTCTCTTTTTATGCATGGCTTCCTCAAAACACTCTTTTTATTACCACGAGCAACCTCCTAAGGCCACTAGTCATGTGGTCCAGCAAGGTACAACTTTCCATGTTGATAGTCAAAATCATTGGATCCTTGATTCTGGAGCCTCTGATCATATGACAGGTAATCTTGGCTTGTTTTGTTCATACACTCCATATTCTGAACCTTCTCGGGTCAAGATCGCCGATGGCAGTTTTTCCCAGATTGCGGGACACGGAACCATTAAACTTTCTGAGCTGATTACTTTGACATCAGTTCTTTATGTTCCTTCTCTGACTTGTAATCTCATTTCCATTAGCAAGCTCACCTCTGAGTTGCATTGCTTTGCTAAATTCTTTCCACATGGTTGTGTTTTTCAGGAACAGGACTCGGAGAGGATGATTGGCAGTGCTAGAGAGGATGGTGGACTTTACTACTTTGAGGAGGATGTGACTCATGAAGCTGTTTTCGTAGAAAAAACTCTATGTTTCCTTTTGATTCATGTAATGATGTTATGCTGTGGCATCGTAGGCTAGGCCATCCAAATTTTATTTATCTTCAGAAGTTGTTGCCAAACTTATTTATTAATAAAAGTCCAAGTTTGTTTTCTTGTGATATTTGTCAACTTGCCAAGCATACTCGTGCTCATTATCCTTCTAAAGTTCACCATGACTCTTCCCCATTTTCCTTAATTCATAGCGACATATGGGGTCCAGCCCGTGTTAAAAATATTTCAGGTACTCGATGGTTCATTACCTTCATTGATGACCATTCTCGAGTTTGTTGGGTGTATCTTCTAAAGGATAAGTCCGATGCTGCATCCGTGTTTAAAAAATTTCATGCCATGGTTCAAACCCAATTCCAAGTTGCTATACAAATTCTTCGTACAGATAATGGCAAAGAGTATTTTAACTCTATTCTTGGAGAATATCTTTCCCAACATGGCATCCTTCACCAAAGCTCGTGTCCTGACACACCCCAACAAAACGGAGTTGCGGAAAGAAAAAATCGACATCTCCTTGAAGTTGCTCGGGCTCTTATGTTTACCACTAGTGTTCCTAAATATCTTTGGGGAGAGGCAGTTCTCACTGCCTCGTATCTGATAAATCGAATGCCATCTCGCATTCTGAAATTTCAGTCTCCTCTTTCTAGTCTTGTTCGTATCTTCCCTTCCTTCCGAGGTGTCTCCTCCTTACCTCTCAAGTTATTTGGTTGTGTTGTATTTGTCCATATTCCCTCCCATCAACGGTCTAAGCTTGATCTTAAGTCTCTCCAGTGTGTCTTTATTGGTTATTCTCCTACTCAACGTGGCTATAAGTGTTATTCACCCTCTCTTCGTAAGGTCTTTGTCTCTATGGATGTCACTTTTTCTGAGAATGACCCTTTCTTCCCCTCGACTTCTCTTCAGGGGGAGTCTATAGGAGTAGATGAAGATCAGTCATGGGAACCTATTAATGCCACAGTATTACCTCTACTTTTGGAAACAGGGGGAGCTACAGAATCCTCACCATCAGGAGCCTCCTCAAAATGGGGACAAGATTATAGCAGGCGAAAGCCTCCTCAAAGTGTGAATAACCCAGAGCCTCTACACTGCCAGGATTCTGAACCATGTTCTAGTTCCAGCACCCCAATACTTGAGTGTCATGGTGAAAATGATCTACACTTGCCCATTGCTCTCAGAAAAGGTACTCGATCTTGTACTACTCATCCTATTTCTAATCATATTTCATATGGAAAGTTGTCCCCAGGGTTTCGTGCTTTCAATACTATGTTGGATAGTACAAAGATACCGAGAAATATACATGAGGCTCTCAATGATAAAAAATGGAGGGATGCTGTCTTTGAAGAAATGAATGCTTTAGAAAGAAATGGAACTTGGGAGATAGTGACCCTACCCAAAGGAAAAAAGGCAGTAGGATGCAAATGGGTGTTTACAATAAAATTCAATGCAGATAATAGCATCAACAGATACAAGGCAAGATTGGTTGCAAAGGGTTTCACTCAGACTCATGGGATAGATTATCATGAGACTTTTGCTCCGGTTGCTAAAGTCAATACCATCCGAGTTCTCTTATCTCTTGCTGCCAATCTAGATTGGCCTCTGCAACAGTTAGATGTGAAGAATGCATTCCTAAATGGTGACTTACATGAAGAAGTCTATATGGATCCTCCACCTGGTTTTGAAAGGGGAAATGAATCAGTGTGTAAACTAAAAAAGTCTCTATATGGATTGAAACAGTCTCCCAGAGAATGGTTCGACAAATTCACACAAGCAGTCAAAAGAAGAGGCTTCATTCAAGCACAGACTGATCATACTCTCTTCCACAAACACTCTAAGGATGGTAAAATTGCTATTCTTATTGTATATGTAGATGATATAATTCTTACAGGTGATGATATTGAGGAATTGAACACCTTGAAGAAATTTCTAGCAGCTCAATTTGAACTCAAAGACCTTGGCACTCTCAAATATTTCCTTGGTATGGAAGTTGCTAGGAGCAAAACAGGCATCACTCTAACACAAAAGAAATATGTTCTAGATCTTTTGTTGGAAACAGGAATGTTAGGGTGTAAACCTGCTGAGACACCTGTGGAACCTAATACCAAGTTAGGTATTGAAGATGGGAATGAGGTGGATAAAGAACAATATCAGCGATTGGTTGGTAAACTAATCTACTTATCTCATACGCGTCCTGACATTGCCTTTGCGGTGAGTATGATTAGTCAATTCATGCACTCACCCAAGGAGAAGCATCTTAGTGCAGTCTATAGGGTGTTTAGATACCTCAAGAATACTCCAGGAAGAGGATTATTCTTTAAAAAGGGGTATAAAAGGACAATTGAAATCTACACTGATGCAGATTGGGCAGGCTCATCAGTAGACAGAAGATCTACCTCAGGCTATTGCACCTATGTGTGGGGAAATCTTGTTACTTGGAGAAGCAAAAAGCAAACAGTGGTTGCAAGAAGTAGTGCTGAAGCAGAATTTCGAGCTTTAGCTCATGGAGTTTGTGAAGGAATCTGGTTGAGAAGACTTCTTCAAGAGTTGAAGATTTCATATTCCCTACCAATAAAACTATATTGTGACAACAAGGCAGCTGTTAGCATTGCTCAAAATCCTGTGCATCATGATCGAACAAAGCACGTGGAAGTTGATCGTCACTTCATCAAAGAAAAATTAGATGATGGAAGTGTGCATTTGATATATGTTCCAACCAAAGAGCAAACGGCAGATGTCCTTACCAAGGGCTTACACCGTCCAGCATTCGAAGACTTGATTGGCAAGTTGGGAATGATCAATATTTACCTCCCAACTTGAGGGGGAGTGTAGAAAATTAGAATTCAAACATGTTTCCGTTTTTATTTCCTATTAATTAGGATTGATTATGATTGATTAGGATTGATTATGATTGATTAGGATTAATTGTGATTGATTAGAATTGATTGTGATTAGGATTGTGATAGGATTGATTAGTCATCGCTTAGTCATTCTTAGCGATTCTTTCTTGTATAAATACTCACTCATGTAATTTATTCAATATCAATATACAAAAACTTCTTTTCAATAAAATTAGTTCTTTATAGGATACATGTTATATTTAAATGTTTGGTTTCTGTAGAAGCCATAATCTACTAGAGAATCCAACTACTTCTTGGATTATGAAGCTTGTGAAGCCCACTTGCTTTATGATGCTTTCTGCCTTTGTGCATTGAACTCTAGGTTCTAAAATAGCTATTATACTAACTTTGTGTGTGCAAACAAACATTTTGGGGGTGCTATTGAAATTCTTTCTTCGCAGCACCTCTGCAATTCCACACGAGGATAAACACTAAGCAATCAAGTTTTGAGATGCACGTTGCCTCATTAGTTGAGCTTTGAGGCACTTCTCCTCATTTTGAGGTGCTCCCTATATCTCGCACAGAAAGCATTTCATGTTCTTTTTGTTGTTCTATGCCACGAGTATCCAAGGAATGTTTTCTAGTAGGTTTCTGGGCTTCTTTCGTGGGGCCAGAGCTTTCGTTTATGCACATTGGGGTTCCTTCTTCATTCATGTCATGGCTTGGCTTCTGGTTTTTTTATTTTGACTAGTCTGGACTTCATTCATTTTATTGATTAGTGTTTGTGTTGTATTTGGTTTTCTCGATAGTTGGTCAAGTAATATTTTAGGATTCTTGTTGTATTTGGGTTAAATAAAAAATATATATTACATTTTTAAGTATATCATTATGGATTGGATAAATCTTTTTAGTGGATATTTTTAATTCTCTCATCTGTTGAATATATTTGTTTTAGATAAAAATGAAACGACCCCACTGAGTCTCTTCGGATTTTAACTAAATAGGCTCTGAGGGGGTATTTGGTATGAGAGAAATTTTCTATTACTGAGAAAAAAAATCTAATAATATGATGGGTAACATTTTTGGCCCGGGTAAGTTACAAAAAGGTGTTTGGTAGGCAGAAAGTTATTGGAAAATTTAGTTTATTTTTACTAATGTTATGTTTGGTTGATGGTGAAATATTGATGAGAATGTGTTATGATATTACGAAATTACCCATATTAATGGTCAAATAATGTTAAAATAGTAGAATGACAGTAAAAAAACGTACATTAGTATCCATTGTAGTTTTCAAAATTTTTGATTCCAAGAAATTTTGCTGAACCTCTCTCCAGCTTTGGGGACTCAGATTAAAAAAATACCACACTTCAGATTGCAATTTTTTTTTTCATTGCACAATACAAAACGAAATGCATAGGAGGAATATTATACCCGAGGTTGTTAAAATCGAGATCTTAATTAAAATCAGAAGGGACTAAAAAATCGTAAAACGTAAAATCACAATGTAAAAAAATAGTAAATAATCGTAAAAACGTTTGGAATATTGGTAAATCGTTTTGATGAAAAAAATCGTAAAAACACAAAATCATAGTGATAAATCGAGATTTTAACAACTATGATTATACGGTATTCTCTAACTTGAAGACATACCAAACGGGGTTAATATATTTTACCTATACCACTTTTCCTACATTCCTATCAAATTCTTCATACGAAACACCCTTAATAAGTAATATCTAAAACTCAAAAAATATTTTCACTTTTTTCAAAGTAATTAAAAATATTTAATACTTTTTATTAAGTGCTTCATAACTCCTTTTAAATGTGAAATACTCCTCAGTTAATTGTGAAATCCTCTTTTTAAATGCCTAGTTCTTATCGATCGGTTTAAAATCCTCCTTAATTAGTATCTTAAGAAACTGTAATTTTATTTAATTCTACAAATAAAAAAACCGAAAAAATATATACCTAGTACTGCTAATTTTTTGTCCGGGGAGATTTTTGCAATTTGATTGTATCTATGTATTTATTGGATTTATTATTTCTTTTTGTAGGAGATAAATTTATCTCTTATATATATATATACAAGAATACATAAAATTCATATTTTTTCTTTTCTCTCTTTTATTTATATGATTCACATAAATCTCACACATTTTATGTGTTTATTTATTTCGTACAATATATAACAAACAAATTAGTACGTAGGATATTGATCCTTTTAGTTCCCCCAAAAAAATCATTTACGCTTCTGACTCTTTGTACTTTTTTTATATTGATTTTGTTTCATAAATGGGGTTATTACCCAAGTTGATTCGCTTTCCTGTTTGGCGCCATATTTACGTAAATAGCAACTGTTCCGCGTCGTCCTTCTCTTCTTCAGTTTTCCTTTTTCCACTTTTTTTTTTTTTTTTTTTTTGGTGTGTGTCTGTGTGTCCCTTCTGTTACGCTTTCTTTATCTTTCTCTCTTAGTTTTGCTTGCATCGACTTTCCCTTTTTTTTTTTTTATGTTTTTCTCATTTTCTTCCCTACCTACCCATTATAACTTCTTGCATTCTTCTCTATTTGGTAGATTTTGCTCGACTTCAGAGGAAAAATGAAAGATTTTGCATTGTGGGTTTAATTGGCAAGTTGAAACGCAGAAGAAAGACAGCAAGAAAAACAGAAGGAAAATAAATAAATAAATAAATAAATAAACGTTTTTGTTTTGCCTTTGTTGTTGTGTGCCATGGATCACTCGGCTTCTGTTTCGAGCAGAACCCGTAGCAAGAAAGATTTGAACTTGCTGAGCCTCTCAGATGGTGGATCATCCAAGAGGAGACAGAGGGTTGGTGAACCTGATATGGTTTTCTTGGGAGAATTTTTTTGTGAAAGTGAAGGCAAAAGGGTCTCTGTTTCAAGTAGTGAAGGTACAGGGAAAAGGGAATCTGGATCTCGAGCTTCATCATCTATATCCAAGGGGAAACAGAGGAGCAAAAGTGGTTTGAAGGGTAAAAGGGTGGATGAATCCGATTGCGAGGTTGAAGGAGAATTGGCCTCTGTTTCTGTTAGTAAACGTCTGAGGGAATCGTTTGATGATGTGCCTGAACCTATAGAAGTGATTGAAATTGATGAGAGTGATGATGATAATGGTACTGAAGAGGGATTGAAGCATTCTGAGAAGAGGTTTCAGGATGTTAAAAGGGAGGAAGACAAGAATGAAGAAGGTAAAGGAAGTTATATGTCTGCTGATAAAGTTGAAAACTTTGGCAATGATGGTTGTGGTTTTGGAGCTGAAAACCCAATTACATTTGATTCAGATGGAGATAATTTGAGTGAGGAAGAACATGGTTCAGATGGAGATAATGAGAGTGAGGAAGAACATAGTTCATATGGAGATAGCCAGAGTGAGGAAGAAGATAGTACAGATGCTGATTATCTTACGCCTTCATCGGAGGAGGGCGAGGATGAAGAGACTAGTGATGAAGATTTTCAAGTTGATAATATGAGTGAAAGCAGTGAAGTTAGTTTTACCGCTTGTGATGATGAGGAGAAGATGATGAAGAAGAAGAAGAAGCTGATGACTAAAGTGGAGACTGAAAGTAGTGGAATTTGCAGAAAAAATGATGGAATAAGGAAAGGTAAGAAGATAGAGGAGGGAGAGCTTTCGAATACTCCATCGTCTGTGAATAATAATGAATGTGGTGAACAAGATAAAGATGAAGGGAAGAAATCAGATTCTGTTGAAGTGGTATTGAGTGGATGTTCTTCCAAGCTGTATGAAGAGAAAGCAAAGAAACAAGATGAAAAGAGACTGAAAAGAACAGCTGAAAATGTCGATGCTGATGTTGAAGTCTTGGGTGGTTATCTTTCTGAAGATGAAGCACAAAAGGGTACTAAGGAACAAGATAGAGATTCAAATAAGTTGAATAAGAGAAAGAAAAATGATGCCAACAACAATGCTAATGGAAAAGAGCATCATGACAAAGATACAGGTGTGAGAGGTGTTTCTTCTTTGCTAAGAAACAAAGAGAAGATAGGAGATTCAGCTAAAGTTAAAATCATGGAGAACAATAAGAGAAAGGAGTATAAAGATTGGGTAAGAATCAGTAATCGTGAAAGGAAGGTTTTTGTGGATGATGAAATTGGTCACGAAGATGGGTTGCATAAAATGCATAGGATGCCATCTAGGTCAAAGGAGGTACATTTAATTCAACTCCTTTCTGAATGCTTTAGGGAAAAGCCTGATTCGGTTAAAGATGATTCAAATGTTGTGGAAGAAAAGGTTGATGGTGTTCATCAGCCACCACTGAAAAATTGGTTGGGCTTTAAGAAGCCTGAACCGGTGGTGGAAAAATCTGAGTCTGAGAAGGAGTTGGATATGTTGTGGGAAGAAATGGAAACATTGCTTAGACTTGAAAAAATAAATTCCCAGGTAAATCTCCTTTTACTAGCTGAAAGGCTGATGCAAAATATAAAAAATATAATTTCAGTTCCAATAATTAGTTTTCAAGAACATTTAAATTTGAAATTTGTATTTTTATGTTCACTATACGTGTGAGTGAAGGAGTAATGCCTTAGCAGGGTACTAGTGGTACTGTTAAGAAAAATAACTCAGCTATTTCCATATGAAGATAATTTACAATACTGAATAACCATTTGGGTTTTAATTTAAACTTGTTAGAGACTTAAGCCCATTTTGGTCTTGATTTTATTGATATATACGATAATCAAATGGATCTTTAATTGTAACGATAAATCAGTAAATAACTTTTTTATATTATGAAATGCAGATTGGAAGTGAAGGGACAAATGAAGCAAGAGAAAACACACAAAGTCCAGCCTTCGTTTGTAAGCATGACATATATCTTGAGGAGCAGATTGGGTTATTATGCAGATATTGTTCTTGGGTTCAGATTGAGATCAAGTACATGACGCCCCCAATTGTAAGCATGATTTGATGATGGTTTATAGAAAATAATTTTCCTTAGTTTTGGATGTTGAGATCGTAGCTTCTTTTCACTCATGAATTTAGGGCCAGTTTAGATGGATTATTTTTGCCCGAAAGGTTGTTTTTTTTTTCTTTTAGGAAAAAAGTACATCCCATTTTATTATGTGTTTGGATGCTAATCTTTTTTTTTTTTTTTAAAGAAAAGAAAAAGTAAAACTAAAATATTACTTTTTTTTAAGCCAATATTATTGGCTTTTAAAATGGTCAAAATACTGTTTTTTCTTTAAAAGTGCTTTCCAAAAATTGAATCCAAGCTTTAATTTTTGAAACAAAAATCATTCTAAAAAATGCATAATTTTTTTTTTCTTTAAAAGTCCATCCAAACGGATTTTATATTAAATCCTGTTATGAATTATTATTTAGGAATTGTGATGCTAACTATTGTTAAGTACTTTTGTTTTCTTTTCTATGTCTAAGATGGCAAATGTATTTCTGCTGTCTTTTTACAAAAGAACATTTTTTTAGAAACATATAGAATGTGAGAATACGCATGTGTAAATATTTTGGATTCTAGTGTAAATATAATCGCTACAAAAATTTTCATTTGCATCAATAGTAAAAATGACGAACCCGTCTAAGATTTTGTAAAATGTAAAGCAACTATTGATTACCATGAAACGATAGAGGTTAAATAAATTTTTGCTAATTTGTGTTTGCTCCATTGTAAATTTACAGGCTCCGGAAAGATCACGAAAAAGAAAATCATCTCTGGTAGAAAATGTCTCAGACTTTGATGGGGCTAAGTTTAACGTTTCTGTTGGTGACTCAGAAGCTGCTTGCTCTCTTAATAAAGGCACGGTTTGGGACCTTATTCCTAACATCAAACAAAGCTTATACAATCATCAACAAGAAGGTTTAGAGTTTATCTGGACAAATTTGGCAGGAACCATTGACCTTCATGAGTTGAAGAGTGCTGATCCTTGTTGCCCTGGTGGATGCATTGTTTCTCATGCTCCTGGAACTGGAAAAACAAGGTTGACCATGGTGTTTCTTCAGACATATTTGGAAGTATTTCCAAAATGCCAACCTGTTATTATTGCTCCTGCTAACATATTGCTTACTTGGGAAGATGAGTTCAAAAAATGGGACATGAAAATTCCATTCCACAACCTGAACAATTCTGAATTATCTGGAAAAGAACATGCTGATGCCATGAACGATATTGATTGGTCTAGAAATCTATACCAGAATAAGGACGCCATACGTATGGTAAAGCTGTATTCATGGTTCAAAGAAAAGAGCATTCTAGGAATCAGCTACCATTTGTATGAGAAGCTTGCCGGCGATGTCGAAACCAAAAGGAAAAATAGGAGTATGAAAAAAGAGAAGAAATATGCACCTGCAAAAGTAAATGGAGTGATTATGGGAAAGGTTCTGCGTGACATTCCTGGTTTGTTAATTTTAGATGAAGGGCACACCCCAAGAAATCAGGGTAGTCTTATTTGGAAGGTTCTGTCAGAAATTCAAACTCCTAAGCGAATTATCCTTTCAGGGACTCCTTTTCAGAATAATTTTCTGGAACTTTATAATACATTGTGCTTAGTGAAACCTTCTTTTCCTGAGAAGATACCTCAAGAACTGAAAAAGTTCTGCCAAAGTAGACTAAAGAAGGAAAAGAAAGCATCTAAAAATGGTAGTTGGGAACCGGTTTCTTCTGGAAATCCTGCTGATGAAAAAATAAACAAGTTGAAATTGCTTATGGATCCTTTTGTTCATGTTCACAAAGGTAGTATTCTTCAAAAGAACCTTCCTGGATTGAGAGAATGTGTTGTGACTCTGAAGCCAGACAATTTGCAGAAAGAACTTCTACATAGCATTGAATCTTCTCAGAACTCATTCAAATTTGAACACAAGTTGGCTTTGGTGTCTGTTCATCCATCACTTTTCCTCTGCTGCTCTCTATCAAAAAATGAAGAATCTGTTGTTGACAAGGATGAGTTGGAAAAGCTTAAAATGAACCCGTTTGTAGGTGTCAAAACAAGATTTTTGGTGGAGTTTGTGCGGTTGTGTGAGGTATTTAAAGAGAAAGTTCTTGTTTTCAGCCAATACATTGACCCTTTGTCTTTAATTATGGACCAACTCAAGTCAGTTTTTAATTGGTCTGAGGGGAAGGAAGTGCTTTATATGAATGGCAAGCTTGATCAGAAGCAAAAGCAGTTCCTGATTCATAGCTTCAATGATGCAAATAGCCAAGCAAAGATATTACTTGCATCTACAAAAGCATGTTCTGAGGGAATTAACTTAATTGGAGCTTCAAGGGTTGTGCTTTTGGATGTTGTTTGGAATCCCTCAGTGGAAAGACAAGCTATTAGCCGAGCATATAGACTTGGACAAAAGAGAGTTGTTTACACTTATCATCTCATCACACAGGGAACCACTGAATGTACAAAGTATTGTAAACAGGCAGAAAAGGACAGGTTATCTGAACTGGTTTTCTCAGCTAAAAATACTGAAAATGATAAGTCAGAGAGTTGTGAAGCAATTTTTGAGGATGAAGTTCTTGATCGGCTGGTTCGGCATGACAAACTCAAGGACATGTTTGGTGACTGCGTGGTACAGCCAAAGGAGAGAGAGATTTAGCTTAGAGTTTTTGCTCTTCATACTTTGATGATTGAAATTTAGTTAAATAGATTGTATCTGATTCAGTATTTTTTCTTTGTTTATGAATATCAAATGTTACATTTTTGCCAACCCGATTAGTTTGGGATAAAAGGTGATTGTTAATGTCGTTGAATTTATATGTTACATTTTTGCATAAGTTATTGCTTACCGCAAGTAAATTTAGTAAGGAGTTATAAACTAATATACTTGATAATTTTTTATGCAACGTATGTCTAATAAATTTGATATGTTTGTTGATAGGAAGGTTGAGTGCTTTTGATGTCTAATAATCATTCTTATTTTGATGTCTAATATTCATTATTATTATTATTTTAATATTCTTTTACTTGTATGAAGCTGTTGTTATTTTGTTTCTACACGTAAAGATAAAGAAGAGGATTATATTTATAAACTTTTTGTTTACAAACTCTTACAAATTACATTATTTATTCCCGAGAGAACACTAGGTTACACTATGTTCTCCCGGGAGTACATAGTGTAATTTATAAAATTTTGTAAAAAAATTTTTGTAAAGAGATCTTTCCCTAAAGATAAAACAACATACATCGGATATACACCATAGTGAGGGGAGCTTCTCTTACTAATGTTTATGATATGAAATATGGGGGGCAGTGTTAGGTTTTGATTTTTAATAGGTAAATATTCTGTTGATGGCAGTGAGTCAATGATAGAGTAATATTGTCATTTTTTTTTTTTTAATAAATCACAAGTATACATTGCAGTAGGCAATTCTATTCGGAGCAGGTCTAGAATTAAGGCAGGCTTCAAATCCCTTCCAAAATAGTACTGTAAAAGATTATACGTATGCTCTCACCTTTAAAAATTTGAGCATTCACAGACTGTACACTGCCACAAAATTTTCCCTGATTTTGTCAAAATCATTGAACTTAATCAATAAAAAATGTTCAAAAGTAGGCAGACGAACACGTAGATCACCAAGGGCCCCAATCAGATTGTCCCACCAGTGTAAATTTGGTGACAAACAAAAAGATATTTTGGTTTATGCAGTACTTAAGCCCTTAGAGATAAGTCTCGTGTGCTGAAATCTATGGCATTATGGCTGGTGGATAGAGATGTATGGTTGTAATTGCCATCACCCTTTCATCTGTGAATTTTATTTGACTTGATGTATATCCCTTCTGTTGCTAAGAAATTGGCTCTTCTAAAATATCCCTTATACGTAGTAATGATGAATTTCTATATCTCTTCAGTATTGTGGATGACTTCTTCTAACTATCTTGTTTGATCAATGATGTCCTTCCCTTAGTTCTTCACTTTATAGTAGATATGACAGTCATATCCTGATTCCAAGACTTCTGACTGCCTATCTTTATATTATTTTTTCTTCATGCAACATTTTGTAACACAGTATAAGCTTTGACTGTAATGGAAGGGAAGAAGCATTAGAAAATCTTACTATTTGTCGAGGATCTTTTTCCTATGTGGAATTGATTAAATGTTTCAGGTTATATACATATATTTGTTACGTTCTATTTGTTCAATATGCTAAACTTCAATTTCTATAATATTTGTCCCAGTTATTCAAATATCAGAGGTTTTCATTGCCCATGTTGGCTTGATTTTGAGGCTCAATAAAACTTGAACCAAACTAACCTCTGATGGTCCTAAATTTTTTGAAACCAATCTGAACCATTGGATCTTGTGGAACTGACTCCATCAAATCATGGTCCTAGTTCGATTTGATTCCAAGCCATGGTTAATTGTTTTTTCAGTTCTTGCCAAATTGTAATCCTATGTCAACGATGACAAATATTATAGCATCAAAAGACAGTAAAAATAAAATAAAAAATAGTACATAGCAGAAATTGAGTTTTTTGACCACTATAACCCTTATTTAATAATTAATTACCAAATTGATCTTGATTATAAATTATTTCAAAAATTTAATCTCTTCAGAAAATATAACATCAATCTGCCCTTGTTTGACCGTTGACCACCAAACCTACCCGGGTATCTCTCTCCCTATCCGAGTATTTTTTTGAAAATTTTAAAATACACGAGTAGAAAGGAAAATACCCGGATATATTTCAAAAAACTGAAAAATACTTAAATTATTTACCCGGATAGGGAGGCGGCTACCCGAATAAATATGTATGATTCTTGAAGAAATTAAGAACAAAGTCAAGTCAATTAATGATGCAAGCTATCTGTTGAAGAGCGAAAAAAAATAAAAAAAAATACCAGAAGGCACCAAGAGTAGGCAAATACTCATATTGAAAGCATGAAGAAATAAGTCTGCATTCTCATTAAAGACTGCAAAGGAAAATTTACAGATAACCATGTGTTTAGGGAAACTAATTTCTTGTTGGGACTCGTAGTCCCTCCCACAAGCCATTAATTGTTGTTTTTTTATAATCACCATTAATTGTTGTTAATTACTTGTTGGGACTTGTAGTCCCTCCCATGAGCCATTAATTGTTGTTAATTACTTGTTGGGACTTTTAGTCCCTCCCACGAGCCATTACTTGTCCGAACTAATTTCAAAGTTGGGACTCGTAGTCCCTCCAAATTGGGAAATTAAACATATTTACCCGGGTAGCTGCCTTCCTATTCGGGTAAATAATTCAAGAATTTTACATTTTTTTGAAATATACTCGGGTTTTTTCCTCCCTACTCGGGTATTTTAAAATTTTCAAAAATTACCCAGGTAGAAAGGAGGATACCTAAGTAAATTTGATGGTCAACGGTAAAACATGAACAGATTGATGTTATGTTTTTTTGGAGAGGTTAAATTTTTGAAATAGTTTATAATTAAAGTCAATTTAATAACTAATTATTAAATAAAGACTATAGTGATCAAAAAGCCTAGAAACTGACTAGTTCACACATAACTTCAAATTAAAATCTAATAAATAACTCTTTAACTCCCATAATCTGGAGATAAAAAAATGTTAGTTTTATGTTTTTCGTGAACCAAGAGATCACTCATGTAATGGATTTAATAGTTCCTCACATGCAATGCTCTCTTGAAGAAACACTTGTCTGAGTATTTGATGTAAATTCGGGAAAGACGGCAACATGGATAATAATTCTGACAAGACTTGATAAAAATCCCGAATTTGCATCAAATACTCCCATTATAATGTTTCAAAATGTCACACCAAATTTTTTATTAATCAAGCCTGAAAAGTTTATGCTATCACAGCGAAACAGATTAAATCTCAAGAGAGTAAAATTCCAACCACAGACTGAAATTGAGACAAGATTCCAACTTACTCTACCCATCCTAACAGTAAAATACCTGAGAGCTCATACTTTCTGTGGGGTGAGTCTAGCCAGAAGTATCTTGGTGCTTCTACGTATTGGTTTTATACAATATATATATATATATATATATATATATATATATATATATATATATATATATATATATATTTTGATAACACAATATATATTATTTTTTTACCAAGGTAAACTGTACTTTCAATCATAGTCAGTTGATATTATTTATATCTAATATTTTTAAATTTATTATTTATATAAGTCATTAGATATAAATAGATTAATGGCTAAATGAAATGGGTGTTATATGAAGTAATTAGACCCAGGCGGTCCCTCTCTCTTTCCGCTGGTTAATAAGGAAAAGTACAGAAAGAATTTTGGGAATTATGGCTAAAAATAAAAATAAAATAAATACTGTAGCATGCCTATGGCATTGAGAGATTCACTCTGGGTGTAATACGTACAATAGTCTAGATTTTAATAATTTAATATGCTTGTATAGATTTAATTTATGTCACATGTTTTAAATGACAAAGGGTTTTGCAAATTGGAGATTCTTGTACATCGAGGATGTCTTTTTCCTATTGTATGTATTTGGATGGGGCATTCATTTAAGAAGGTAATGTAAACTTGTTTACCGAATTTTTTAAAAAATTTATTAAAAAATCATATTTGGATAGAAAAATGAAAGAATTTTTAGAATAGATATTTGGTTGCAGATTTGAAGTTATACTTACATATAGGTTGAATTTTATGAATTCTCTTGCTACACCGATATTATCATATTATCTTTTTTTTCATTTAAATAATAAATTATATCAATATAAAATTATGAGGTTTTGAACATCTATTTTATGATTATATATAGATATAGTTAGGTTATATATTTCTATTTCCTACAAGACACTTTTGGGTTAAAATCGAATGTTAATTTTTTACTTGTCACCTTATTATCACACGCCAAATTCACTCAAATACTGGCCAACACTCTTCCTATCAATCCCTCCTTTGGATGGTATTAGTTTATTTTAATTATTTTGTGTCATGTTGTTTTCAATTAAGAGAGTGAGCTTGCAGTAGCATTAAAATTGTTTCTTTGTATTTACAAAAAAAAAAAAAAAAAAAAAAAATTGTTTCTTTGTAATTAAAATGTCATAGTTTAAATTCGGGAAAAAATCCTCTTTTTAAAGATTGCATATAAAGATTGTCCTTATCATATTTCTAAGGAAGCGACTTTTTTTTTTTTTTTATCATGTTTAGTTGTTTAGGACAAATGTCATTAACACGTGATGAGAAGGAAATCCCTTTACTTGTCTTGTATTATTTTCAATTCATAGAAAGGGGCCATGGCTAGAAAATAAACAAAAACAACAAACTATAAAAGTCTAGAACTAGAAACAACTGCAGCTCCAGTAACATCTGTAATTAATAATGGGTCGACACAACGATTTCCCTCATGAGATTTATAATGGAACTTGAAATTCCACTATTGCATAAGCAAGTCTCGAATTCTGCTAGCAATAGAGTGAATCTGGTGTTCAGTTACTTGAACACATGTATAATTGACCAACTTATCAGAGGAGGTTGGGATAAGAAAATATTTTTTTAAAGATAACTTTAGTTTAAATAATAAAAGGAATTAATATTTCTGTTGCACATGTGTATAAGTAGGTGGAGCCTATTCGAAAGAAAGAGACAGAGAAAAAATAAAATCCAACCATTTACATATGTGTACAGAAAAATTATTAATCACATAATTAAAAACATATTAGTAAAAACAAAAGAAAATAAATAATCAAAATATTCAATTAAAACGAATCTGCATTAGCTTGATGAACAATAGGCTGTAACCTGTAAGGATGTTTTCTAATAAGCTAAATGTATTTTATTTTATTTTTTGCAATAGGTTATTACTTTTTTGCATATAGAAAAGTTAATTATAAATCATTAGAAACTGAATTTAATGATAACTTTTTATAAATATTCATTAAACAAATAATGTATAAATATATTTGAAAATATTAGCTAATGCTAATGAGAGCTGTCTCGATTGGTGTACTTTAAAAATATTTGGGTTCTAAAAATAATATTATATTAGATAAAATATACAAACATACACAAATATCAACTTAAAACTATATTGATTAAAACATAAAAAACAATGTTAAAAAAATGGATTTATAGTTTCTCTTGTTGCAGGAAAAACTATTAACTTTTCTGCAGCAACAAAAAGAGGTGGGACCCACCAGTGGCGTAACGTCATTATAACCAGCGAGGGCTTTGGCACTGATTAGTTTTTAAATTTTTTTACTTATTATATATAATTATATATATAAGTATATAATTAATTTTAATTTGGCCATGACTATCATTTGGATGATAGGCTAATTCGTCCAGTCTTAACACTACCAGTTTCAACAGCAAATGGTGAACGTGCATTCTCTGCAATGAAAATTGTGAAAATAAGACTTCGAAACAAAACGAAGGATGACTTTCTTGCAAATAATTTAATTGTGTATATTGAAAGAGAGATTACTAAAACTTTCACTACAGATTCTATCCTTGAAGATTTCGTCAGTTTAAAAGAGCGTCGTTTACAATTTTAGGTATGTAATTCTTTATTATATTTTGAATTTTTTATTAAATGTTGGTATACATATAATTATTATATTTATGTGTATTCTTATCCTTAGGACAATGCTTGGTTCATTACTTATTATGCTGTGGGAGGCAAGTGAGATTCTTATGTTTGGAATGCTTATCAGAAAGGTTAATGCCTTTTTATATGTTGTTTTCATATATGATCATTGACAATTGTTCATTTAAATTTTCAATATTATGTGATATTATTTAGTAAATAACTTAAATAAGTATGCTAGAATTCATAGTAAATTTTTTCCTAATAGATTTGTGTATTTATGATAAATATTTTGATAATTTGATATGCCAAATTTTTTGGCATGGCCTAAACTAAAATTCTGGCTCCGCCACTGGGACCCACCATATTAAAAAAAACTAGGAGGGATTTTTTATGAGTCTGCAGGAGGGAATATTTTTCTCATGCAATAGGAGAAAAACATACACCTAAAAAGTCCATTTGAAAGAAAAAAAAAATACATACATGAATTTTGTGGGTTCACAAGCTATTTTCAAGTATAAAGAAGGCCTTGCTTCAATAATATTGGGATTATAAGTTCGAACCAATGAACAAAGAATAGGAATTGGTTAATTACATATTCATAGGTTACTTGATTAATTCTATTTCAATTGGGCCTTAAAGATGGGGGTGGAACACATTCCCATAAAAAGATAACCAGAATAATGTAGAGCATAATCTTTAGTACCTTTGAGGTATCTCATCAGCCTATCAAAGGCATCTTAATGCTCTTTACTAGGATTATTAGTGAAACGACTCAGCATACCAACTATAAAGACCATGTCGGGTCTAGTAAAACTTGCAACATACATAAGACTATCAATCAGTTTTGAATAGTTTAATTGATCTATGCTGGTCCCTTCATGAGGACTCAATCTTTTATTATAATCATATGGTGTCTAATTGGGTTTGCACTCATTGTATCCCCAAGCAAAAAGTAGTTACATAATATAATGAGTCTAGTTAAGGCAGATAACTTTCCTTTCAAAATTTACTTTCATATCAAGAATGGTATTAGCAATACCAAGATCTTTCATATCAAATTCTTTAGCTAAATTAACTTTTATGTCACTCACTACAGAATAATCGGATCCAAGTATTAACATATCATCCACATACGACAACACTATACAATTGGATTGAGTAAGGAGCAGTGATTTCAAGTATTATGCCCTCTGAAGCGTGAAATTCCTTGAACCCTGTTATCGTGTATTCTCCTTCTCCATCACTCCTAAACTTCTTAATTTTCAAGTTGGGTTGATTTTCTACTCTTGACTTGCAAATCTTTAACATTTCAAAAGCTTCAACTTTTGATTTCAACAAATAAACATATAACAATATATATAAAAATTGTTTGAATGTTATTAAATACTTTTGACCACCCATAGTAACATAAATTCTAAAGTCACAAAGGTCAGAATGTATCATCATCTCAAGAAGTTATGTGATTTACAAACCGACTTAAAGGATTTTCTGGTGATCATAGTTTTTGCACATACTTCACATTTCTCAAATCGAATAAAGGCATACAATGGGATATCTTGAGTTAAACATCGAATTTGCAGTTCCAGCACAAGCCACATGTATCTCACCACCATTGCAATTTTCCATGGTGTCTTTCACTTCAATGATCTAGTGAGTAAATTCTTGTCATTTATAGCATGACAAGTAGCTCTGCTATTCAACCACCACTTAGAAGAAACACATGTCTTTCTATTTTTCATCATTTCAATGAAAGCTTGAGGCTCGAGTTTATTTTGTGGTGTGTTATTCTTTGACTTATTTGGAAGCTTACACTTTGTTGCTAAGTGACCCCAATTTCCACAGTTATGGCACTCGCCCTTCTTTTTCTTTTTGAAGATAGACTTTTTGGCCTCTAATTGTGAAGAGAATTCATTTTTTAGTGACTTGGACTTCTTCTGAGGTTTATTGAAATGTGAAACTAAATTGGCAACTGACTTTTGCTGTTCTACTTGTTCCAAAATCTTCCTAGAATAGTTTTGATCCTTAATATGAATAAACATCTTCAATTCATCTAGTCCAATATGTTCTTCCAGTCTATGCATTTCAGTCTTGAAAGAACTCTATTCAGTAGATAGCTTACTCAACACAAGATCGATGAAAAGATTATGAAACATATCATATTTAGCATCTTTTAGCTTGTTCCTCATGTTCTCAAGTTCAATTAATTGAGAGGTGATGCTTGAATTCATATTAAATTTGAATTCAAAGAACTTCACTGCTAGGAGAGTTTTGGAATGCCCCTTTTGTTTTTGGAATTGAGTATTCAAGTAATCTCATATCTTTTTCGTCGTCTTATACTCACTATAAGTTATAGCTAGACGAGGATTTAGAGAATTTAGCAAGTAATCCTTACAAAAATCTTTATCTTTATTCCATTGATATTTATCCACGTCTTCAATGGTAGATGTAAAATCACTTAATATAGTGTAGAATATTCACGTTCTTTCATACCAAATTGAAGATGTAATTTTCAACCACGAAATTCTAGTATCATCAAATGATTGCAGCTTTATAATATCATAGGAACTACGTTTAGCCATTTTTAATTAGAGCTAAGAGTTAGAAAGAGCACACGTTGTAGTCCACAAAATGTTCTTTTTTTTTTTCACAGAAAAATGTACCTGAATTTTTAGATGACCATATCTCTTTCGTTTGACCTCTGTTTAAGGCGAGTGACTAGTCAAAATGATTGTCTCGACGATTAGAACAAAACTTAGTAGGTTTTATTTCCTAAAACTACTTGAAATTTCTGAGATCTGGACTGAAAAGTTACTGTTGTAGTATCTTCAAACTCAGACCCCTGTAAATCCTTCTGTCGAATCATGAGAGTGATTAAACATATGAGTTTCTCTCGATGAGATCTTCGAATAGACACCTTACTCGCTCAAATCCGACACACGAAGCTAATATTTCAAGATTGTAAACATAAAGAGGCAAATAACAATGCTCTCACTTATTATTAGACTTTATTATTAGTATATCCAACAATAGGCTCTTAATCATTCTCATTAAATAATAAAATTAAATTATTATAATTACACAAAATTAACCTATAAAAATTATTGAGTTATAAAATTTAGGGTTCATTTTTCTGCAAGATAAGTTGGATTATTATAGTCTTTATAATATTATAGTCTTTCAATCCCAAAATAACGTCATTTTAGAAGTAAATGCAGATAATTTTTCTGCAAGTAACTGCATAAATATTCTTTTGTAAAATGTATTCTTATAAATTACATTATTTTTTAATTCACCTTAACATTATGTGTAACATTGAATATTAATTCAATTCAAAATATCTTATTTAAATAGATCAAAATTCAATAACCCTCGTACAATTTTTGGGGGCATTACAAGAGTTGAGCTTTGAACCTCAAGCACCCTAAGCGAGAAACATACCACAAGACCAAATGCCTAGTTTGAAAGTTACTTAACAAAATTTTATATATTGACAAACATCTATGGAAGAAAACCCCATAAAATGGCCCTAAACCTTAGTGTGACTGAGTAACTTTACGCATAGCAATGGCAAGAGCGGCTTTCCTTCACTTGCTGCGGTCACAGAGCAGTCACCACTTTTCAACAAACACTCCTTCAGGTTCTCTTATTCTTTCTCTTCCTGCTTCTTCCGGGTTTTCGAATTACCTTAAAGGATCACTTTGTGGATCCTTTGTTTTTATGATTTCACAAGAATCGGGTATTAGGCACTATCGGGTTTTACCATTAATTAAATTTCGAAATTTGATTCTTTTGGTTACTGAGAAGAAAATGAGTGTTCTTGGACAAGGTGGGTGTGAGGAATTTAGCTTCATATGGAGGATGTGATGGTCAATTGTAGAAATTTGATAGGCTAGCTGGACAGTTTACAAGATTATAAAATTTTGAACAACATGAATCAGAATTTAAATCTATTATTACACATATGGGTTTGGACCAGTTTCTCATATTCCATAGAAATTTATTCTAAAATTGTAGTTGAGTTGTTGACCAAATGTTGGAAAGTAGATCATTATTATGAACAATCTCACTCCAAATGAATACCTTAGTTCTATTGAAGTCAAGTTATTATTTGATGCTTCTTGCTGATGTCTGAATTCAAAAACTGTTGGCGTAGTATCTGCTATTATCTTATTATTATTATTATTATTTTTTTGGTTTTTGTTTTGCAATTGTTTGTAAATTTGTTCTCTGCATTTGGCCTACTGAGGGCGGAAAGAAATGCTCTGCAGGCGTATATTACACCTTTGACTAAAATAATAAGTTAGATGAACTTTTCATTAAACTTGGAAATGATTATTTGCTGAGAAAATGAATGAAACAAATAAGAGGTTGTTTTCATTGTCAAAGAAATTTTATTAGAAAGAAGAGAGAGGAATTTCAACAAAAAGGAGGATAAGAAATCCTGCAAAGAATAAAGAGCAAAATACATCAAGAGGAAATAACGTAATTGTAGGAAGGCTTCCCAATCGGCATAAAAGGCTGAAATGGCAACTCTTGAAACAGCCATTAGTGAAGCATCATAAAGAAGCCAAAAACACAATCCTACCCTGAAGTAAATTTGAGGGAAGAGAAACACCCCTAAAAATGTGAGCATTCGTAGATTCAGGCATGATACACTTTTTAGTTATTGGGAGAACCCGAGTACTCTCTTTTGGGTCCAGGAAAGAGCTCTCGGAGATCTTTTTTCCCTTTTGGAAGTTATGTACACTGCCACAATTTTTGCCCTGATTTTGTCAAAACCATTGAACTTAATCAATAAATATTGTTCAAATGTAGGCAGAGTGGCAGACAAACACTTAGATCACCTAGGACCCCAAATCAATATAAATTTGATGACAAACAAAAAGATGTTTTGGTTTGTGCAATACTTAAAGAGTTATGCCCCAAGAGATAAGTCTCATATGCGCTGAAATCTATGGCATTATGACTGGTGGAAATAGATGTATGGTTGTAATTGCTATCATCCTTTCATCTGTGAATTTTGTTGACTTGATGTATATCCCTTCTGTTGTTAAGAAATTGGCTCTTCTAAAATATCCCTTAGGAGTAATGCTGAATTTCTACATCTCTTCAGTATTGTGGATGACTTCTTCTAACTATCATGGTCTATCAATAGTGTGCTTCCCTTAGTTCTTCACTTTGTATTAGATATCCTGATTCAGAGACTTCTGACTGCATATCTTTATATTATTTTTGTAACACAATTAAACTGACTGTAATGGAAGGGAAGAAGCATTAGAAAATCTTACTATTTGTCAAGGAGTTTTTTCCTTATGAAGAATTGATTCAATGTTCCAGCATTTATATATATATATATATATATATATATATATATATATTACGTTCTATTTGTTCAATATGCTAAACTTACAATTTCTAGTTTATTTCTCCCAGTTATTCAAGTATTAGAGGTGTTCATTGCCCATGTTGGCCTTGATTTTGAGGCTCAATAAACTTGAACCAAACTGACGTCTGGTGGTCCAAAAGTTTTAGAAACCAATCTGAACCATTGGATCTTGTGGAACTGACTCAATCAAATCATGGTCTTACTGTCTTAGTTTGATTTGATTCCAAGCCATGGTTCATTGTTTTTTCAGTTCTTGCCAAATTGTAATACTCTGTCAACTATAACAACTATTTTACCATCAAAAGACATATAAAAGTTGTACGTAGCATGAATTGTCAAGTTCACTCAAACTTCAAATTAGCATCTAATAAATAATTCTGAACACCCATAATCTGGAGATTAAAAGTGTTAGCTTATACTTATAATGAACCAAAGATCACTCATTTAATGGACTTAATGGTTCCTCACATGTAATGCTCTCTTGAAGAAACGCCTCTTCTATGGTGTTTCAAATGTACTGAAAATTTTCATTGCTAATTTACCATTTTCTTCTTTCCAGTCTTATTGTAAAGCTCCTTTTCTATTCAGTACTTTGAAGTATGTTGTGTTTCTAATGTTTCTAATTTAGCAAAACTAAATTAGTTATGTTCTTAAATGTGTATAGAGTTCTTACTTGGATTTTTTTTCCTGCATTGTAAGCTGGTTAGAATGTCAATGATGTTTAAGTATGTTTTTATGTAAAAAAAATACCTATTAATATTTATATTTGTATATATTTGTTTCCATGGTTCAGCATATCATTGTTTTAGGTCCTTGACTCGTGGACGGCCCGTAAGTGCTAATGCAATTTTTGAAGCATCCTCCCAACTTGCTGTTTTCCGAAGAAGATGGGCATCTCAAGCCACAACTACAGAGGAAGACAACAAGATTAGCATTGGACCTCGAAGTGGAGGACAATCTGGGGAAGGTGACAAGGAAACTGGAGTTGTTTATCACGGTCCGATCTCAGCTACCATAAAGAAAGTAAAACTTCTGTCTCTCTCGACTTGCTGCCTCTCGGCGTCTCTAGGTCCTGTCGTAACCTTCATGACATCACCTGATATGAATGTCATCCTGAAGGGTGCAGTGGCATCATCTGTGATATTCTTTAGTGCTACTACAACTGCTGCCCTTCACTGGTTCGTTAGCCCGTACATTCACAAAATCCGGTGGCAACCAGGTTCAGACACCTTTGAGGTGGAGATGATATCCTGGCTGGCAATTCCTTTTACAAAGACTATTAAGTTTGCTGATATTCGACCAGCAGAAACCAATAGGCCTTTTGTGACATTTAAGGCTAATGGGACTTTTTACTTTGTGGACGCAGAACACTGCCACAATAAGGAACTTTTGGCTAGACTCACACCACAGAAAGTAACTCATGAATCAGCTATAAAAAACTTGTGATTTGAGACATACTTTGGTACGAGATCTCGGGTATTTTACTGTTAGGATGGATTGAGTAAACTAGAACCTTGTCTTAATTTCAGTCTGTGATTGGAATTTTACTCTCTTGAGATTTAATCTGTTTTGTTGTGATAGCATAAACTATTCAGGTTTGATTAATAAAATCTCTGTTGTGTCATTTTGCAGCATCATAGTACTGGGAGTATTTGATACAAATTCAGGATTTGTAGTCTTGTCAAAATTATTATTGATGTTGCAGTATTTATTTAGTGTTCTTTTGGTGTAAGTTACATTTACTGGTTTCATATTCTATATATCATTTTACATTGGTGTAAGTTACAATTTGAGTCATAGCTATTGATCTTATTTATATCTATCGCCTCTAATTTTTTATTTGTATTTTTTTGGTGAACCTAACGCCTCTAATTTATTAGTTATATGAGACATTTGTTTGTTGAGTTTATTTGCATGCTTGATATGTTTGAATTTATATGATATAATTCTTGTAAGATAAAGTTAAAGCAATCTAATGATGCCTACTAATCCAAGAAGCAATTAGGTCAATACAGAAAAATAAAGGGTTCATGAGATACCTTCCCTAATTGCTATGTCTGATTGCTCTGAATTTGATTTTTAGGTGCTTCCAAACTGAACCTGAAAGAGAGAGCTTAATGCCATAAAAATATAGTACACTCTTATTAACCTCTAGCTATCATAGATGTTGTTAAGATGTAGAACACACGAAAAAAAAAAAAAAAATTCAAACAATTCTATGGCATTGCATGCCTTTGATATTGCACAGATTACAAACATCTGATTCGTATTATTTTTTTCATACAATTTTTTTTTTTTGTGATTAAAAGTTTAAATGAGGTTTGATGCCGGTATTTCATTACGGACAGAGTTGACCTCCTAACCTCTTGGTTAGGGTTAAGGCTCATGAATAATTACAATTAGTTAGAGATTCCAAGTCTATTTATATTTTTCTTGTAAAGAGAATATTTTGTAACAATAGCGGCAAGAAAAATATAATATAATATTGTTGGATGTATCGTAGAGTAAATTGTTATTTCCATTTTTCTTTTTCTTTTTTCTATTTTGCAATTCAGTATGTGATTGTTTGGTTCCAACAAATTTTTATTTATTTATTTTTATCAATTTTTCATATGTGGTGGCGTTTAGGTAGCTTTTTTTTTTTTTTTTTCATACATGTGTTTTTTTTTTATACAAAATGTTTTAGATTAGGGGAAGGTATCGCAATGCAAGGCCAAGGAAAACTCTCAACCTTAATGAGGGTTTATGAAGGGATTAAGAATCACCTACCAATGACAAAAATATGAAAATTAAACGCAAACCATCACTAGTGTAGGTGGAAGGATTAACCGGGTATGCCAACGCTCATTATTGACAAAGTTTTAAATCAGATGGCTTATGTATCATTTTAAAGATCGTAAAGTTGTGTCATTTCAAGTGAGAGAAAGATATAGATAAATAGGAAGAGAATGAACAACAAAAAAAAAGTGTGAATCCCACTTTATGAAATGACACAAATTGTATCATTTAAAATAACAAACACTTGTTATCAAAAAAATAAAAAATAAAAATAACAAACACTTTTTCCCTGGCTAAAATCCTTCTCTCTTTCTAATAGCTTCATTAGCAAGCTTGTCGGCACAGCGATTTTCCTCGTGAGATATAAGATGGAACTTGAAATTCCACTAATTGCGTTAGCAATAGAGTTTATTGAACCCATGGCTAGCTGACTAGCTGAGTAGGGTATTTAAGGAAACTTAGATAAAAAAAAATATATTTTTAAAACAAAATATAATTTTTTTTTTAAAAAGATAACTTTAGTTTAAATAATAAAATGGTTTAACATTTCTCCTCTATACGGTGGGATCCTATGAGAAGAGGTGGGAGAAAGAGAAAAAGTGAAATTCACCTACTTATATGCATTAGAAATATTAATCCCATAATAAAAATATATTAGTAAAAACGAAGAAAATAAGTATTCAAAAAATTCAATTCAAATGAATCTGTATTAGCTTGATGAACAATAGGCTGTAATGATGTTCTATAATGAGCTAAATGTATTTTTTTTTGGGCAATAGGTTATTAATCTTTCATATATTGAAAATTTATTTATATATCAATAGAAATTGAACTTTATGTTTTTTTATTAATACGCAAAATTACATTGATCAAATTGACAACTTTTTAAAAATATTCATTAAACATATAATGAATAAACATCCAAATATGAAAATATTAACTAATGCTAATTCGAGCTCTCTGATATGGTCAAATAACTTTATTGTTACTTTAAAGAATATTTTGGGATCTAAAAATAATATTATACTGGATAAAATATACAAATATACATAAATATCAACTTAAAATTATATTGATTAAAACATAAAAAATAATGTTAGGAAATTCCATTTAAAAGAAAAAAGAAACATACACGAATTTTGTGAATTCACATACTAGTTTCAGGTATAAAGGCCTTGCGTACCATTGAACAAAAAAGAGTAGTTGGTTAACTAGATTTATTGATTACAGACTAATCCGATTTCAGTTGGATCTTAAGCGCAAACAATCCTATGTCAATCGATCCACATATTTGGTGTCATAACATTGTCAAAATGGGTCAACCCCTCAATTGTGGGCCCTAGCCCATGCGGGTAAGGATAAAAATATTTGTAAGTCCAAAAGATCCACAATTATAATAATCCACACGGGTCAAAAGTCCTACAAAGCTCTTCGAGCCAGGGCCAATGCCATCAAGAGTTACAATTTCAAAAAAAAAAAAATCAATCTCTTTCAAATTTAATAAATAAATATTTAACATTTTCATAAAATATTCTATGGGTTTATTGTTTATCATTTAAAAGGATGATCCTTTTAGATAAATATAATGTGTTTTTTCAAATTTTAAACTTCAAAATCTTCCCTCCTCTCTCTCTTCCCCAAGTTTATTTCTTTATCTCTCTTAAAAAGATATAAGTTTGTATCCTTTAAAAGGATACACACTTTTCCCATATTCTGTACAACAAATTGATTTTTCACAATTTAATTTTTTAAATTAAATAATATTTGCACACAAAATCAAGTCTAAGCAAAATTTTAATTGTTTCCCATATAATCCCTGCACAATTGGTACCGTATGAAAAACATTGAAGTTCTCGCTTCATGTTGTATTATGGAATAATGATATCTAGTATTAAGTAATAGAGATTTGTTTTTCTCATGTTGCATGAGAAAACAAACATTTTTTATACACACCATAAAAAGATGTGCCACTCATTTTTTTGTTTTTTGTTTTTTTAAATAGGTGGGTCCCACACTTGATGTATCAATGACATGAGATTAGAATTCTCTTACAACATAAGATTTATTTTTCCCTAAGTAATACTTACAGTGAAGATTTTTATGATTAAGTAATATTTATAGTACTGGTGAAAATTTTAACCGTTATTGTTTCCCATAACACTAATGATGTGTTGAATTGTAGAATACATCCAAAGGAAAATATTGTAAAATATTGTGGATGACCTTTCACATTATTCATAAGATGTGACTCTTTACTTTTTATGACCTTTGATGCATTCTATAACCATCACATTAATAATGTGTTGAATTATAGAATACATTCAAGGATGAGTGTTGTAAAATATTATGGATGACCTTTCATGTGGTTCATAACATATAACTCTTTGTTTTTCATGACCTTTGGTCTATTCTATATTGTCACATTAATGGTGTGTTGAATTATAGAATACATTCAAGAAGGAGTGTTGTAAAATATTATAGATGACATTTTATATGGTTCATAACATGTGACTCTTTGTTTTTCATAACTTCTGATGTATTCTGTAAGAACTTGCACCATTAAGTTAGGAAATTAATCAATTAATTAAGTGTTTAATGAGATAATTCTATAATTGACCCTAATAATTATGAGAAGGCTTAAATAATTATGGTAAGTGATTAAGAATGCTGAAAGTCGCTTTTCTGACGAAAAGTGCAGATACTGATTCTGCCTCACAGTATAAATGCGTATCGATGAAGTATCCTGGAAAATTATAATAAGTTTGGGAATATTCCTGAAATAATATATAGAACTGGTAAAACATGTTTCAAGTCAAAATAATGAGAACTGGTGCCAGAATTGATACGGGCTAAATAAAAGCGCGAACTGAAAAAGTACTGCGAAAAATAAAATAAAAATATGACAAATCTTAGAAAAATGAGTAGGTTCATAATCCTAAGTTTGGGATTAAAATTCTAAGCGTAGTTTTAGCGCTAATACAGTGCGATTAAAACTTAAGTGACCTATATAAGGCCTTGACACATGATTCTAGGTCATTCTTCAGCCCTTCTACATGACCTTGTGCCTCCCATTTCTGACTTGGTGCCTTCCCCTCTTGCCACCTTTATTTCTCCTAAGAAAAACCTCCAAAGTGACCACCTTTCCCCATTGTTCTTCATCTAAACACCTTGGTTGTGTGTGGTAGGGACTTGGGTAGGAGAAAAACTCTCATGTTCTGAGTGTAGGTTATGTTTTGGAGGTGTTGGGGGGCTGAGTTTATGAACTTTGTTGTGAGCACCATTTCCTTGAGTGTTGGAGCTTCAAGATGTGATCTTTGAAGAGAAAGGACCCACCTTGGAGTGTATTTTCGTGGTCCCTTGGTTGCTGCTCTGTGGAGTGGCATTGAAAGCTTCAAATCATTGCCTTTTCTCTGTTTTGAGAGCTTGGTAAACATTCTCAACCTTTGATCATGTGTTTAATGGTTAAAAATGAAGCCTTGACGCTTGTATTAAGCCAAAGTTCATAACTTAAGGTTGGGTAAGGTTAAACACACCTAGAAATGCATGTTTAAGCTTCTGGAATCATTAAAAGAGCAACCTTTGGGAAGGATATCTCACGAAATGTAGAACTGCATTCTGTCGCGAAATATTCAGATACTGATATCCGGATATGGGGTCTTGTGATATCCGTATATGGATATCCGGATATGGCCCCGACATATATCCGGATATTCTGGAAATTTTGAGACAGTAGCTGTACTGTTCATACAGAATGGCATCTTGGGTTTATGAACCTATGATTGGTTAATGTGGACTTCTGTAATATTTAATCTAAGTCAGAATCTAAGGGGTTAAAGGCTTATGGCTTTATGAGAAGGCTAAAGACATGAAACGTAAAAGGAAGGCATTGTCTTTGTGCCATATGCTTGTAGAATATGAATATTGATATGAATATTGGTCCAAACAGATTGTGATTGTGCTGTGTGTGGACTTTGAGCTTGGTGGACTTGGCTTGGATTGATTGCTTAAGAGGTAAGCTTTCGTGTCTTCGGTTTAGCCATTGTTAGTTCCACCATACCCCATGGGGGAATGGTGATATGCATGATGTGTTTTCATGTTTTGATGTTTGAAATGCTTGTGAGCTGTTAAGTGCAAGGGCCTTATAATATGTATGTGTTGTTCCATCTAGACGGTAAGTCTGAGTATGTGGCATCATACAACACGGTGATCCTGTGGGTGGGTGCAAGTGGCGTCTTGCACTATTTGTAGGGTTTAGACGTATGTAAATCCTGCATTTCTCTAGCCAGTAGAATAGTATTGACACACATGACATGGTTATCTGTTGCATTGCACTGATTTTGGAATTGATATTGTACATTGCTTTTAAAACTTATATTGCACATGTAAGTGAGCTTGGGGTAGAGAAATCCTTGAGAACCCCTTGTCTTACCGAGATTTCTTTTTAGAGATCTCACCCCACGTTTGGGGCACATATTTCATGTTCAGGTAACTCGGGGGTTGAGACCTCGGGCGGCAGGAGGTCGGAGCTGAGTTAGACCTTGCTGCTTATACTGTTATGATTGGATGCTGACATGCTTTATGTTATCATTATTATGATGTTGTTGTTGAGACTCTAGTGGGCTTTGTGGCCTTATTTGGTGAGCATGGGGGTTGTCCATGCCACATTGATTGACTATGTCTTATTTTAGTTTCGAGTTGTATTAATGTATCAGGATTATGGTCCGGAATGCATGTTGTAGTTCCGTGACTTAGATACTCACATATTTATATTACTAGTTGATTACATCGCACGGAGAAAAAAAAATCGGTTTGTTTGTCCCGTAAACGAATTAATAAGAAAATTGGTTTGTTCGTATGACATAAACGTGTAACTTTTAAGGTAGGAACAAAAAAAAGAATATAATAATTTAAGCACATTAAATTCCATGGTTGACAGCAAAATCTCCATTAAAAAAATATAAATGTCATGTTGACAGCAATATAATAAGAAATATGCCCTACCAATACTCACAACAGTTGTCAGATATCGTCCGCAATGCACTATTGGTATTTGCTGCTGTTCGAAATGAATCATAAACAATATTTGGAAAAGAAAAAATTATTGAAGGGAATTATATAGTTTAGGCAGATGACTAATTAAGAATTACAATGAAAAACCTTTGACTCTGAAAAATGACAAGGGAATAATATACTAATTGTGCCTCGAATACTGAATCTGCATAACAATAAAAAATTAGCAGAAAAATAGGCATAACAACTAAAGGAAATCAACAAAGAAGATTAAAAAATATTTTCTGATAAAAAATTGAGATCTTACTTGATACCAAACAACAATGTTATCTCTTTGTAGAAATAACCAAGTATACTACACTAATCTTTGAAATACTTCATTGTAGACGATGTTAAAGGTAGTATTTGTAACGCAACCATTTTCATCAAGTATCAGCATCTTCAATCCTTGTCTGCTCTTTACTCTAGATAGTGCCACATATAATTGCCCATGAGTGAAGACAGACCTAGGAAGATAAATGCCAACATGAGACAGCGACTGTCCTTGACTTTTGTTGATAGTCATTGCAAACGAAACTACCAAGGGGAATTGTCTTCTTTGAAAGTTTACTGGAAATGTATGACCCGATGGGCTGATCGTCATTCTAGGGATTAACACAGTATCTCCTATATTGTTTCCTGTAAGAACAATTGCCTCAACAACATGATTCCCCAACTTTGTAATAAGTAATTTCGTACCGTTGCATAAACCTCTTGATTTATCAATATTTCTCAATAGCATCACCGATACTTTAACCTTCAAAGTTAATTTATGATCAGGAATCCCCGAACATGAGAATGTATTTAAGATATCAGGGGAGATTTCGTCATCCTCAAGAGATGAATTACCGTCTTGTTTCAAAACCTTATCTGAACTCAATAATGTCCTTTCTTCACCCGGAATCACAGCCATTAGGTGCTCGTTTAACATGGCAACATCGGACAATTTAGGAGTCAGAAGAGCACGTTCTTTAAAGAAAGTAGGATCTAATATATTATCCATCAGATTCGGGTAAACAAAATCAACAATATCTGAAAGTGGGTCTTCTGAACCTTTGATCAACAATTCATCTGGGATTGTTATAATAGATTCTCCATCAACATCATCCCCAAGAACACCATCTCCTATTTTAAGCAGCCACTCAGAAAATTCTTTTATTTCCAACAAATTATTAGTGCTATTTCCAGATTTGAGACGCATGTTCTTGGTCAAAGATAACAGATGGCAATGGGACCATAGATAGCAAGAATTGATGGTTGCATGAACTATATCTTGTCTACTACCATTTGGAATGACAGGTAATATTTGCCGAAAGTCACCTCCTAGAACGGCAACTTTTCCACCAAAGGGCATATCAACATAGCTAAGAACATCTCTAAGTGTTCTATCAAGAGCCTCAAAGCAAAATTTGTGTACCATCGGTGCTTCATCCCAAATGATTAACTTTGTTTTTGACAACAACTTTGCCAAAGTAGAATTTTGTTTTATATTACATGTTGAATCTTCGGTGATCTGTATAGGAATACGAAATCTAGAATGTGCCGTACGTCCTCCATGAAGAAGAAGTGAAGCAATTCTGCTAGAAGCAACATTAAGCACTATTTCAGCTCGAGATCGAATAAATGCTGACAGGGTGTTCCAAATAAATGTTTTTTCAGTCCCACCAAAGCCATACAGGAAAAAAAATCCTCCTTTACCTGCCGAAACAGCTGAAATTATTTTGTCATAAACAACCCTCTGCTCATCAGTGAGTGAATTCAGTAGTCTGTCATGCTCTTCTTTCAAAGAGAAACTGTCATACAACAATTCATCCATCACCAGTCTATTCTGCATATCCAATAAAGATTCACCCATGATGCTCGGCATGGATGGGTAATCAGAGAGGCATTTACCGTTGCTTTGCAACACCTTATCGATTTCTGCCAGGGTTATGTTTTTTTATAGAATCCTCTGTAAGCAAAGCATCTGAAAAAAATTGAAAAATACAAAAAAAAAAGGATTAACAAAGACAAAGTTGGTGAGGAAAGAAAAATAAAGCGAAATTATGAACAAAGCAGAGGGTGTGAAACATAAATTTTTTTTTAACCAAATATTAAGAATAGGACGGTGTATAATGTATAGATGTAATTTTATTATGAAGGAACAAAAAATGCTCACATTTTTTCGAAGGTCAAGTGAATTAAACATAAGCAAACTGTTTGCATAAATGAATGCACGATACAGAATGGCAAGAATATTAATTATAGTGCACAATACACATAAATGAATGCACAAAATTTGTTCCGGACAATTACCTTCACGTCCAATTCTTTGCCTATGCCGATAAAGAACATCGTCAGATAGTAATTCCCAGCATTTTTGGAAAACATTTTCAGGCATGTTCATTGAGTTACCAAATAACAATAAGGCAAACAGATTTCTCAGATAAGTTGCTGACCCCCAAGAACTTGCCTCCTTAATTGCATCAATGTACTCATTGTCATCATCCAAAAGCCCCAAAGAATAGCAGGCATCCTTATATGTAGGAAAAAGCACCCCTTGACCGTTCTCAAATCTTCATAACTTGTACAACCCTTTTGAAAATTAAGTAAAGTTCGGAGATAGGAATCTTCTCCATTATTGGCAGAAAAATGATTTATTCTTCCAATTGAAAATCCTTGTTTTCTGGGATGCCATTCATGCGTACTTTCTTTATATACAAATTGAGTTGGATACTCTACATAAGTAAGATTCCTACCTTCGGGATATTTTTTATTTGCATCCATCCAAGACTCGAACATTGATTGTCTAGACTCCGCCCTAGTCTTGACATCGGTTATTGAAGCATGATCACTAAAAACAACGCTTTTTTCATTGGCTAGGTGAAATGGCAATCGCTGAACAGGGGGGAATCTGTAATGAATCTCAAATCCGAATATTCTCCAAGCAGCTTCACATGTGGACACATACCTATCATATATAAGCAATAAATTCAAATTAAGTTAGAAAAAGGTTATTCCAAGTAATGAAAGGAAACATAACCGATATGAATTCAACAACCTACAATCATAAAACATTTTTGATTTCATCATCTGAATGATTTATATTCAACATTGATATGCGCTTGATATTTTAGAAGAAGTTTTGCATTATACGGCACAACATAACGATTATCAAGTTCAACGCCATTCTTTTTGACAACGCTTCCATCATTTCTTCTTCTATAATGAGGGAATCCATCATCATCAATAAAAGTACGAACCATAAATGATTTCTGACTTCTATCTTATTGTAAAAAGAAATGAACAACAAAGAAACTTCTGTAACAGAAAATAAACATACGAACCATGAATAGGTCGAAGGAAGCGTTTCACACTTACCAGTAAAGGGAGACAACACACGACAGCCTGAGGTCGAAGAATCACTCAGAATATTTTTTAAACGGTCCGTCCTTCTTCTCTTATTTTGGGGAGTTTGGAAATCTGATTGATGTTTATTCATGACAGCGCCCAACTTGCTTGGAAGAACTTTTGATTAAGAGAAAATAGAAGATAAATTAAGAACTTTTTAAACTCTCCTTTATATGTATATAGATGTGCTTCAACGAAAAAGCGAAGAGAAAAGAGAGATACTCCCAAAAATACCAAAAAAATAGAAAAGAAAAGTCCGCGAGATAAAAAAAACTCAGTGTGCGGAAATGACAGTGCCGTATTCGAATTGCAGGGTGAAATTAAGATACATAGGACAAACGTCATTAAGATAGAAGTCATTAAAAATTTAAAATTGATGGTCAGAACATGTGCGCTTTCACTTTATAATTTTGGGTAATAAAAATTTAAAATTTACAAAATTACTTATTCGTAAAATTATAAATTTTAATTACTTATTCGGTAATTTAATTAAATATATATTTTGCTTTTTGAGGGAGTAGAAGTCATTTCATCAATGTGTCAGCAATTTCTGGTCATGAAAGACAAATATAATTATCTGTTTCAACGTTTAAAAACAAAATAACTATATAATAAAAAATGTAGGCGTTTCGAGCTTCAGATGCTTCCTGGTTCTTGCGCCTAAAGATTAAAATTCGATTTTTAAAAGAAATTTTTTTCCCACCATCCATATTTAAATTTAAAATTTTAAACCATTTCAAATTTCGAATTTCAGATCAGACGACGAATTCCAACATAAAAAGCAATTAAAACACCTGATTATCCAATTAAAATTTTGAATTTCAAAACCATATTTATTTATTAATTATTCTTTTATGTCTGCCACCACAAATGGTTATTAAATTATTCGATTTAAAGATTAAAATTTGATTTTTAAAAGATATTCTTTTCCCACCATCCATATTTAAATTAAAATTTTTAAACCATTTCAAATTTCGAATTTCAGATCAGACAACCAATTCCAACATAAAAAGCAATTAAAACACATGATTATTCAATTAAAATTTTGAATTTCAAAACCATATTTATTAATTAATTATTCTTTTATGTCTGCACCACAAATGGTCATTTAATTATTCGATTTAAAAATTAAAATTTGATTTTTTAAAGAAATTCTTTTTCTTTTTATGTTGAAATTGGTCATCTGATCTAAAATTCAAAATTTTAAACCATTTCAAATTTTGAATTTTAGATCAGATGACCAATTTCAACATAAAAAGAAATTAAAACAGCTGATTTCTTTTTGGATACCAATGTGATGGGCAGTGGGACATTCAATGTCTTGTCTGCCACCACAGATGGTCATTAAATTAATCAATTTAAAAAATAAAAATTTGATTTTTAAAAGAAATTTTTTTCCCACCAACCATATTTAAATTCAAAATTTTAAACCATTTCAAATTTTAGATTAGATGACGCATTCCAACATAAAAAGCAATTAAATCAGCTGATTATATATAACACCTCACAATTTTTAAGTTTAAATATTAAGATGTTAATCAAAGAAAAAAATAAAAATAAAAGAAGTGAGGTGCTTGTCGTGCTTAATTGTTGTCGTGCTTAATCCTTGTCGTGTTTAGACAAATCCTTGTCGTGCTTAGAATCATTGTCATGCGTAAACATATGACCGCCTATAGCTTTACTTCTTTCTTCCTACGGCCAAGGAAACATAAAACAATCAAAGGAATTAAATAAGCATAGAAATCAAGTGGCTTGGCGGTGGAACAAAAGCAAACATTAAACAAATAGAATTCTGATTTTTGGTGAAACAATCAAGTCGGTAGGTTGGCCTTTACTTCAAAGGAAGGTAAGCTCCTTAGTGTGATGCATCAAGTCGGCACGTTAGCAAGAGGTGGAAATCAAAGGAAAGAAATAAGGAAATGTTAAGTGAATTGATACAACAAAGCCGGTTCCTTGTGTCTTTCCAAGCGGTGACTAAAAGAAGAATAAAGAAAAAGAAAGGTCCAATTGAAACATCATAGTCGGTCCCTTCTTCTCTCTATCCAACACATGACCGCCTCTTGCCTTCCCTTCATCCTTGCGATCAAACAAGGAAACCTCAAGCAGCTCAATTCTTTAAGGCAATACAAAAAAGGGAACTAAGACACAAGCCTTGTGATTCTAGTCGGTTGGCTTTTTTTTTTTTAGATATCAAGCAGCTGAATTTCTTTTCTAAACCGTGCAACTAAGGAGACATCAAGGAGCTCAATCCTTTACTCTAAACCGTAGCAGCCCAAGGGAGTTAAGAGGAGCTAGTGAGTATTTTCTTGTCCCTAAAATGCTTAATACTTTGAGAAAAAGAATCCTTGTGTTCTTGTGGTCATAACCTTGTATTTTCTTCTTTTGATAAGTGGTAAAAGATGAGTTTCCAAGCATGTATTGTGCGCACCATGGGGCTGACTTTGGATGAAGTTTCATTTAAATATGTTATGGATTGATGGTTGATGAATCCCTTGGATTGAAGTACAAAAACATGGTTATATTTGAAAGAAAATCATGGACTTTGAAATAGGTCAATTCGGCCAAGAGGAGAAAATTGTGTAAACAGTGTGTTAATAAAATTCTAGGTGGAAGTGGATGTTGGTTTCTATAAGTTTTAATGATGTTTGAGACGTTTTTCGTATTCTGACAGAATTGCCGTGTATTGACGATTCCTACATGGTTGTTGTAGGTTACCGTACGTTAATTTGAACCTCGAACCGTGAGCTTGGTGGATTGCCCTTGGTCCGGGATTAAGTGGAATTGAGGTGAGTAATGGGAACCATGCTTTAAGAATTAGTAACTTGCATGTGTTCATATGAACAGTAATTAATTGAGAATGTCCTCTGTGTAGGCATTTCTGTTTTATAACGAGCTCGAGAAATATATTACGTTGGAGCTACGTTGAGAGGATTATTCAGGTAACCTCTTGGTACTGGGGCTTGTTCCCCTTTTCTGTTCCACCTTGCCAGTTGATGGCAACGGTAGGAAGTGTATATGAGTAGTGTAGAACATCATGAGCATGCATGCATTATCACAGTGGGTACTTATGTACCGAGTCTCTGGCCAGTAGACAGTTAGCCTTCGGGCAGTGCGGACTTCCACTGGATAGGTCTCCGAGGGGGAGTTCCAGTTGACCTAGGGTCGTGGTGTGTGATCTGGATAGGAGCACACTAGGAATGTCTCGGGTGTTATGGATGGAAGGGGTACCTTGGTTGTGGTTCTTGGAACACACCTTGGATGAAACCCATAGGCTTATATATGCCGAGGACGTTGCGTGGTATTGGTAGCTACCATTCCAGCTTCGTCATATTTTATATCCTGATATTCCCCAGTTTCTCTAAATCCCTTGCTATATCTCGTTTTAAGTGATATTGTTTTATATTATTTATATGAATTGAAGTGAACCATTGGGCGGAGTTTTCTCCAGAACCTCTGGGTTACTGAGATATATTCGTATATCTCACCCCGTCTCGGGGCATTTATTTCAGGAGATAGCAGTGGAGCTGGAGCAGCGGGCAAGAAGCCCGCAGAGTGATCAGTGGAGTGCTTTAGTGTTTTGCATTTTGTTGCCCATGTGACCTAGGCTAGACTTAGGGTATGAACATTCCATATGTATGTAGGATGAGATTCACTGTCATATTTGTTCATGTCATTTTGCCTAAGTCTAGTACATATATCATTTTGAGGTTTTTACATTATGTTGTATTTGAAGACTTTGAGTTGTAAAGTGTAATATGCATGTTGAGACAGTAAACTGTACCTGAATACTTGATGTAATATGTAAGCATGTAATATGATGGAAGGGAAATAGGCCTATTTTAGGTATATGATTATATGTACGTTTAGAAGATGCATGCAATTGGACTTTGATGATTGAAACATATTAAGTATTAATCGAGAAAGAAATATGATATGTATTATATATGTAAGATAAACTGTGATGGGTTGTAAGTGCCCCAAGGCATTGTTTGTCCTTGTGTGTGCCACCCACTGATTATTAGGTATCATTTGAGGTCATAGATCACTTGTATAAATTTGGAAAACGTTGGAAAAACAAAGGAAACTCTGGCGAAATTTCCAGAAATTGACAGTTTTTAGGTGAACTTTGATAGATCATATCTCCCTCCACAAAGGTCTGTTAGGGACGTTCCATATGCCATTTTAAAGCTTGAGATGTCCTCTAGCTTGTGGTAAAAATTTGGTAGAATTTTGAGTTGAACTTAGACCTGTAAAAAATCAGTGAACACAGACTGCCCATTCGTTTACTGCACATGTGGCAGTTCTGGACCAGTTTTGGGAAATTTATTCCTACTTCTCTTCTCTGTCAAATTAAGCGTATGATATATAAAATTGAAGGTTTAGGTGTCTAGTTTGTGGTATAAAAATTTGAGAGCAATTGAATGAGTGGATTTTCTGCAGTAATTCGTGGAATGAGAGATGTTTTGAGCTGTTTTGGGGTTGGTTGGCAGTTTTGCTTGTCCAACTTCAAACGGAGATGACCGGAGAAAACGAGCTCTAAATAAAGCGTGTGATAGCTTC